GAAGCGCCGCGATGACAGCACTCAAGGTTTTCTTCTCTCTTTCAGTTACACATACCATGTATGCAGGAACACCCCCAAAACTGACACACAAGAAGAAGAAAAAAAGAGAGCGAGAGACAGAGAGAGAGAGAGAGAGAGAGAGAGAGAGAGAGAGAGAAACACACTGCATTAAAGAAAGATTCACCAATTCAGGTATAAAAAAGAGAAAAAGAATCGCATCTAAGACCCAAAGCAAAAGTCAAACCTTAATAGCAAATTAAAGCAATTCCTTGAATCCTGAGTAATATTATAAATACTCAGTTTGAGACTATAAGAAAGTGAAGATCTTTTATTTGGTGTTTTTCTAACTGGAGGAATCAAGCCCAAAGAAATCTCTGTGTCAATCAGAGATTGGTGTTATCTGACCAATGGGCAATGGCATGATCATAAGCAAACCCAGGTTCTATCTAGGACACTGAAGCTCATGGAACCTTCATTTGCATGTTCTACCTCACTTGTCTTGCAATTAGTGTATGCGAGGGGCTGGAGAGATGGCCCCGTGGTTAAAAGCACTGGCTGCTCTTGCACAGGACCTGGGTTTGGTTCCCAGCTCCAACATGGCAGCTAACAACCATCTGTAACTCCAGTCCAAGGGATTCGATGCCCTCTTCTGGCCTCTGCAGGCATTGTATGCACATGGTACACTTACATACATACACATTTGTATACATAGAATAAAGATAGATAAATAATTTTAAAACAATTAGCATATGCAAAAGATAATATAATCATGGGAAAAAATTATTCCTTCATTCAATACACAGTTATCAAACCACCACCAGGTGTCAGACACTGTACTAAATACTAGAAATAAAAGGCTAGGTAAGACAGACATGGTCCCTGCAAATTAATACCGTGATCAGGTTTACCCACACAACCCAGGGAACATTATTTTTCTTTTTAGCCTGATATATTTGGTTTGCTTTTCTTATTGTTTTACTATTAATTCCAGAAATTAATGAATTTTGACAATGATGCTTTAGATGAGCTTTCTTGCTTCAGCAGTATTATTGGAGCGAATGAAGCCCTATGAATTGTGGAATGGTGAAATATTCACAGAAACTTACAACTGCTACAGCTGAATAACAATTACATTTGCTCCAAACAGGCATTTGGTTTCCAAACGCATTAAACAAAGGCCATTTAGAGAGCTTCTTCTTCTTGCTGGCTTCGTTAGCATTGCTGAACGTCCTGGGATTTTGGAGTGTGTCACAAAGGTAAGTATATGGTAAGAGGAAAGATTTCTGAGCCCCTGAAATACTGGTCTGAGAGTCATTAGTGAGCCAACGGGATCCCAAACACCATGACTAGATGAATTAGCATGCTAGAGAAATTTGATTATTCAGAGCAAGAAATCTCACTTCAGACTTTACTTTTCTTTCCATCAGTCCTCACAATAAAACAGTGCTATATGCCATTCTACAACATAGTATAAAACCATTGATCTTTGGTCACTGTAGTACCATATTGGAGTTAAAAACAGCCACATTGATAATAAGAATGATTAATCCATTGTCATTGAAAGAAGATACCATTAAAGGAATAGCTAGGAATCTAATGACCCTAAGGATTTGGATCCCACTCAAGCCTTTAAATCAGCTGTTTTCAAAGTCAATAGGTGAAAAATCCCTTAGCCAGGTACCTGTTGGCAAAATAATGTAGCATCTATCATCTCACTTGTCTAATAATTAGCATATGCAAAAGACTATGTAATCTTGGAAAATATTTTTCATTCATTCAATACCTGTTTACCAATGAACCCCCATGAACGAGGCACCTATATGTCATCTACCATCCATCCATCTATTGCCTCTCTCTGTCTCTCTGTTTCTGTCCCTGTCTCTCTCTCTCTGTCTCTCTCTCTCTCTCTTTCTCTCTCTTTCTGTCTAAAACTACTGTAAGGAGGGATGGGTGACAGCACTAAAAACTTTAATGGCTCCTTGAGTATGTGCGTTTCTTATGCACACCCTCCCTAAATACCAGTCTCTTTCTTAGACTTCAAATGCAGTTAGAGAATCAGCCTTGCAGAATACCCTGACAAAACTTTCCTCAGCTTTGTGGCAGAACAGATTCTTTCAAGAAAACAGAAGGCAAAGGTGTTTGCTGTTTCCCTCCAGCCACTGTCTCCAACCACAAAAGCAGAGCCCATGTGCCAATTTGTACAAACCTGTACTGCCTCTCCATTTTTTATTTTGTAACCTTAATTAAGAATTGGTCTTTGTCAGCAGAGCTGAGTCCTGTCCCACAGGGCATCAGCAATATCAACAAACTGCTTAACCTTGCCAAGCATCTTCAGCTATAAAATGGAATGAGTAAATTCTCAAAAATATTTAAAATAATAACAGCGGCCTCAGTGGCTTTGGGTTTACACACCCCTTTCCTCTGTTGTGGTCTTCTCTTAGACTTAGGCTGAGAAGTGATCGGATTCCCATAAATCTTACACGGGATTCAGAACCTCTTAGCTCAGGATCTATTCATTCATGCAAGCATTCAGCCAACATGTTAGCACTGGTCCAACATCAGAGAAGTAGAGTTGAACCAAAGAACTCTTGGTATTCAGGAAGCTGAGGTTGGTGTGCAAACTAAAACATCCAAATATGATTATCTGGGATTATTGAGCAAGTGAAAGATGGAGATGTGGGGTGAAGAGAGGGGGTAGGATAAAAATATACATCAGAGATTAGATAACCAAAGGTAAGAGCCAAAATACTAAGGTAGATTTTATTCAGAAGTAAGTCTAATTTTTTCGAAGTCTTTCTCCGGGCTCCTGTTTTCTTTCTCTTTGTGATACTTTATCTTGATTGTCAACTTGACTGAAGTGACCTAGGAGGTTAGTGAAGCCACTTCTAGATGAGTCTTTGAGGAACTTTGGGGAGACAGTTAAATCATACAAGTTCTGCTGTTAACAGTGGACTAATCCCTTGATGGATTCATAGTATTGGGAGGTTGGGATAAGTAGAAAATTGGGTCTGGTTAGAGAGGGAGCCCACAGAGTGAATGTTCCGGGGGCCATATTTTCCCTATCTCCTTCCTATATTCCTGTTTTCTCTCCTTCCTGGCTGCCATGATGTGAACTGCTCTACTGCACCATGCCCTCTCTGCCATGCTGGCCTGACGCCTCTGTAGCTGCGATACAGAAGAAATCCTTCCTCCGTGAGGTTGTTCATCTGAACTTTTTATAGGGCCAGAGACTAAACCCAAGTCCCTGAGCACCCTAGGCAAGTGCTCTACTACAGGCCACATCCCTAGCTCCTTCCTCTGCTTCTGTTAGGTATTTGGGGCAGAGTGATAAAAAGCTAGCTAATATACCTCTGAATAGTTTTTGAGAAGAGAAAGAGAGATGAAGGAATAAAGCAAAGATCAGCTTCCCATGTGTTAAACATCCTGTGCAGTATGAAATGTGCTATCCACATACATACATCCTCGTTTAATGTCTAGTACCTTTCTATTACATAGAGCTTATCACCCAGTCCCTTTAATAATAAAAATAAACTGAAAAGTTGACCAATGTCACACAACTATTCAAACCCAAATTTAGTTAGCTCTAAAACCCACATTACTACACTCTTCGTTTATTTTTATTTTATGGATGTGAGTGTTTTGCCTACATTCACATAAGTGTACCACACATGTGCAATGCCTGCTGAGGTCAGAAGAGGATGTCAGATCCCCGGGAACCAGAGTTACGGACTATTGGTAGCTGACATGTGGTGCTAGAACTGAACTTGGGTCCTCTGAAGAGCAGCCAATGCTTTTAACCACGGAGCCATCTCTCCAGCTCCGTTACTACACTCTTATACTGCAGAGAACCTTCTCCTGGCTCTATGAAAATCCCGAAGTCTGGTGGATTGTGTGAAATTAGTCTCTTCTGATTAAGTAACTATACTACACCCTCTACCACCTGTTGCTGAGCAACAGTAGCTGTTATAGACCATAAGAGGGTTAAGGATGCCCTCAATAGAATGCCCAGATAGCATGTACAATACTCTGGGTTTAATCTCCAGCACTGAATAAACCAGTATAGTGGTGCTGCCTATAATCCCAGCAGTCAAGAAATAGAGGCAAGAGGCTGAGGGTTCAAGGTCATCATCTGCTATATAAGGAGTTCAAAGACAGACAAGCAGAGGAAAAAGAGGAAGATAGGAAATCTCTGGAAAATTTACCACCATACATTAAGTAGCTAGAGGGAACTACCTCAAGACAAAAGTGCAGGTTGCCTCAAGAACCAGTTGCCCACTGGGGTGGAACTGGTCAGGTCAGAAGAGTTGGTTGAGGAATCTCAGGAACATAAGGAGTAATCGGTGTTGATGGGGCTGAAGAGATGGCTCAGTGGTTAAGAACGCTTGCTGTTCTTCCAGAGGACCCAGGTTCAATTCCCAGCACCCACATGGTGGTTAATAACTGTTCCTAACTCCAGTTCCAGGGGATCTGAGGCCCTCTTCTGGCCTCTGAGGGCTTTGAACAACATGGGTGCACTTACATACATCCAGGCAATACACTCATACACATAAAATTAAAAAAATAAATATTCTTAAAAGATCAGTGTTGGCAGCAAGGAGCCCATGATTCCTATTTATTTTTTAAACTTATTTTCTTTTGTAAGATTTATTTTTTATTTTGTACATATGAGTATTTCCCTGTGTGTGTGTGTGTGTGTGTGTGTGTGTGTGTGTGTGCGCACCATGTACATGCAGAGCCTGCGGAGATCCAGAAGTGGGTGTTAAATCCTCTGGAACTAGAGTAGCAGGCAGTTGTGAACCACAGTGTGGGTTCTGGAAACCAAACCTGGGTCTTTTGCAAGAGCTCTTAACCACTGAGCCATCTTTCCAGCTCCCCACCCCATATCTTTTTATACTGATTGTCATCATCAAACATTAATTATCTATAAGTATGCAAAGAAACAAGAAAATGCACATGTGTCCCTGGGTCAAAGTTAGTGAAAACATGGTGTTTATAAATCAGATCAGATTTGATCTCAGTACACATTCCATCGGAATGCAATTTTATGGAACAAAATGCTTATGAAATAGCATCCTCATAGAATACAAATGATATTACATCTTTGTATACCTGTTTTAATTACTTTTTTTAAATTGCATTGAATTTTTGTGAATTTCAATCCCTGGGAAATCACATTTAGACCCCTCCCCCTACCTGCACCCCTCTTAATGCCTCCCAATCGATTTAACGAACTCTCTCATAATATATTAAGGCCTATGAAGTGAAATTTGTGCCCCCAAATGCTCTCCGGGGACAGCCCATCCACTGGAGCCAGGCTAGCCTAGTGTCACACCCTTAAAGGAAACTGACTTTCCCTCTCCCAGCAGCTGTCACTTCCAGTATCTCCTAGCGAAGGTTCAAGCTTCTTCCCCACTTGCCCACATCTATGCTGGGATTTTGTCTGGTCTGAGATTACCTGGGTCTTTGTGCATGCTGTCACCATGGGTGTGAGTTCATACGAGTAACTTCCCAGCTGTCTAGAAAACTGTTTCCTTGGGATATCTGCCCCCTCTTCTGCAATGATCCCTGAGCCGTGGGTGGCACAGGTTTTCTATAGGTGTCGTATTCAGGGATAGACACTCTGCAATCTCTGTTCTCTGTACTTTGGCTAGTTGTGACTCTCTGGTTTAATCATCGTCTGCTGCATAAGGAAGCTTCTCTGGTGAGAGCTGAGAGATGTATTAATATTCTTTCCACCCCCTGTTCTGTGATGTTTCCTGAGCCTTAGATGTAGAGGTTGCATTGTAGATGTGTCACTTAGGGCTGGGCACCTCACAGACATTATTCTCTGCATTTGACCAGTTGTGAAACTTTGTAATAGTCTCTATCAGTTGTAATCAGAAGCTTCTTTGACAGGTGGTGAGAGGTATACTTGCCTGGCTACTTGGGAGCTCTCCAGCAGTTTGTCCGCACTGAGTCCTGAGCAGGAAGATGGTGACTGAGCAGGCAGATTCTGGCTAGACAGGGTAAATGAGACTAGTTAACTTTTCTTGTTGCTATGATTTTTTTTGACAAGTATCATGTTATCATTATTATTATTTCCAGTTAATTATTTATTTAATAACCACATACTTAGAAGAAGCATTTCATTACAACAGTATTGGCATATTCAATAACAATTTTCTGAGCTAATATGTATCTTTTTCAAAATTGGCTATAAATTTTTAGGTTTACAGTTGAATTATTACAGTTATACAATATTGTACTCAGTATAAAC